AACCTTCCTTCCGAGGAGTGGCTGGTGGGTTTGAACCGCCAGCCGTCTGGTTAGCAGGCAAGTGTCTTAGCCACTACGCTACCAGAGCTCCCGAATTAATGTTACATAACCTCAAATCTCAATCTCAACTCTAATGAAAATACAAACTTCCAATAAAATCAGTAAAATTTAGTTGAATATATTTTAAAAGATACAATCTTCCCCAACTTAAAACACACACACACACACACAATGTGCACTACACACCCACGTAGTACCTAAGGCATTTGACTGCTAACCAGAAGGCTGGTGGTTCAAACCCACCAGCCACTCCTCGGAAGGAAGGTTGGGCAATCTAGTTCCGTAGAGATACTGCCTCAGAAACCCAAGGAGGGGTTGCTATGAATCTAACTGACTTGAGGGCAGTGAGTTTTTTTGAGTACAACCAATTAGCATTTACAAAATATCCCGTAAGGTGAAATATACGTACAGGAAAATAAAGTCTGATTATAAATTTTAAAACTTTACAAAGTAACATTAATGTCCATTGACTCTAAATTCATACTACTTTGAAACATATACATACATCTTTCAGATCCTTCAGTATTAGAGGTTAAATAGTAAAATAACTTTCCCAGTTAATATTTTCTTCAAAAAAAGTACTATGGCTGCCAAAACTGTTATTCATATACTCTATAAGCAAGATATCATTCAAGGAAGAAAAAGAGACTAGGGGGCTTTTGATTTGATATGCATTCCACAGCTGTAAAGTGATTCTCTTTAAATTATAAACCCTTATGGCATTGTGGTGTTTTAACTATGAGGCCCCAGGCACTCTGAATACAAACACTGACAGGAGTAACTGTGTGACTGCAACAGGAAACTTTTTGTGGTCTCCCAAATAGAAAGTGAACACAAAGTCTAGCAGAACACAAAATACAGCATAATGTGTTAAGAAACAAGTAGGGATACTAATTTAAGTTCTCATCAGAAAGATTTTTAAGACTGTAGGTCCTGTGAACTCAGGGTACAAATAAAGATATAAGGAAAAACGATTGAAAGAAAAGCAATATGTACTTGCCAGATTTACCCAAGGGGAAAGCCAGAATCAGTAAATACTTTTGGTAAGTACTGATTAGGCACAGGTTTACATTGTGGGTTGCTAAGAGAAAGTGGTATTTGAGAAAGATGGCCCAATCCCTTCTTCCTGCCTCACAAATGGAAAATCTTACTTACTTCTGACCATCACTCTAAATCATTTGCCTAAAAAATGTTTTCTATCTTTGTGAGTATTCCCTCAACAACTAGAAAAGTGTGAGATACTCAGCTGACAATTTTTCTTGCTTCTCAGATTCTTTTGAGAATCAGACAAGAACTTAATATATATACAATTTAAAAAAAAAATTATTGTGATTTGGGTGAAAGTTTACATGAGAAAATTCATTTTCTGTACAGCAGTTCACACACATTTTGTTTCATGACAATGGCTGCAGTCCGCACAGTGTAACAGTTCTCTTTCCACTTCCTCTCTGTAATTACCTCTCCTCTCTGTCCATCCTTCCTGTGTATTCCTGTCCCCTGAGCTATCTCCCTGTGCAAATACTGCTCTTCTGTTCTCCCATGAATGTTTGTTCTAAGGAACAAATTCAGGAGGTTCACAGATCACTTGGATCACATCTACAGACTCTGGTGAAGAACTCCAACTAAAATTTTTTTTAAATAATTGTAAGGACTGGAGCAGCCTTATGATTTTGGGAAGAGATTCTACTAGTCCCTAGAGACAAGAACTATAAATCTTCTCTTGGTCAACAAAATGTCAACTGTTATAAACCAGCAGAAGTCTAATCACTGCACTTAGGAAGCTAAAGAAGTTTCACCTTAATCCTCTTGGCTTGGACTTCTTCTGGTGCTACCCAAGGTTCTGTAAGCCTGTAATAGGCTGTAATAGTGCTGAATTATTCAAATCATAGGACTCATCCTAAAAAAGAGAGAAAACCAAAAACCAAACTCACTGCCGTTGAGTCAGTTCTGACTTACAGAGACCCCTCCTTGGGTTTCTGAGACTGTATCTCTACGGAAGTAGTTGCCCAGTCTTCCTTCCAAGGAGTGGCTGGTGGGTTTGAACCACCAGCCTTCTGGTTATTAGTCAAATGCCTTAGGCACTATGATTGGACTAATTCCAACTAACTCCATTTCTCTGGATATTCCAGCAGCTGTTTAGTAGGTTCACATGTGCCACCAAAACTCGCTGGCGTAAGGGGGCTAAAGAATACAGTTCCTGAGGATGCCATGGAAGTCAATGTGTTTCCCTGATGTTCAGTGGGAAAGTACTTGAGAATTTCCAGAGTTATTCTAAGGCCCTCAAAGTGAACTCCTCCTCAGATGCCTCCGAAAGTTCCCCCTATATTTCACTGGCCTTCTCTCCACACAACCAAATGGGTATCAGTGAAGCCTTATATAATAAATGTTTTTCCTGTGCTAAAATCAAACAATGCAAATACCTGTGACAAAGTGAAAAGAAACATATATGGCCCTGCCCTGGGACTCACACAGATAGCAGGTCTAAGTCATAGCCAGCTCCCTCCAAAGGTTTCTGAAACTATCTGACCAGGACATCTGTCCTGACCTAGCCAAGAGCCTGCCTCAAATGCGTATGCACCATTTGTTTTAAACATGTTTATTCAAAACCTTTACAACATACCTATTGTTATTATCAGGAGCTCTGGTGGCATAGTGCCTAAGACATTTCACTGCTAACCAGAAGGCTGGCAATTCAAACCCACCAGCCACTCCTCAGAAGGAACACTGGGCAATCTACTTCTGCAGGGATATTGCCTCAGAAACCCAAGGAGGGGTCGCTGAGTTGGATCTGAATTGACAGCAGTGAAAGTTGGTTTTTTTTGTTGTTGTTGTTAATATCAAATATGTCCAGGTAAATACAACTAGAGTCATGAGGGTAACAGAGACTTAGATAAAGATAACATTGTTGTTGTTGTGTTCCATCAAGTGGAGGCCAATTCATAGTAATCGACCCTGCATGGTAAGAAAGAACTGCCCCACAGAGTTTTCCAGGCTGTAATCTTTATGAGAGCAAATGGAGAGGTCTTTCTCCTACAGAGCAGCTGGTGGGTTGGAACAGCTGCCAGTAGTTCTTGGTTAGCAACCAAGAACTTAACCATTGCACCACCAGGGCTCCTTGCCTAAGGAATAAAGTATTTTTAATGTTATCCAAGGTGGTACTAAGGAGCTCTAGTGGCACAGTGGTTAAAGCACTCAACTTCTAACCAAAAGACTGGTTCAGTCCTACCGGCCATTCCACTGGGAAAAGATGACTAAGTCTGCTCGTGTGAAGGTTTAAAGCCATGGAAACCCTGTGGGGCAGATTTATTCTGTCCTGGCGTAAGGCATTTGACTGTTAACTAGAAGGCTGGCAGTTCAAACCCACCAGACATTCCTTGGATGGAAGAGGGGGCAATCTACTTCTGTAGTGATACTGCCTCAGAAACCCATGGAGGGGTCGCTCTGAGCCGGATCCAACTCGATAGCAGTGGGTGGAAGGACACTATGAGTAAGAATAAACTCAATGGCAATGGGTAAGGTAAGTAGGGGTGAAACAATGGTTAGGTGCTCACCTGCTAACAGAAAGGCCTGTGGTTTGAATCCACTAGCATCTCCAAGGGAGAAAGACCTGACAATCTGCTCCCACAAGGATTACAGCCTAGAAAACCCTATAGGACAACATCACTCTGTCACATATGGTCAGTACAAGTTGAAACAGAACAAGGGCATATTGTATTGTTTAAAATCAGGAAACGTCTTCATCTGGGTTGTATCCTTTCACCATACTTATTCAGTCTGTAAAATAAGCAAATAATCTGAGCAGCAGGACTATATGAAGAACACGGTATCAGGATTGGAGGAAGACTAACAACCTATGATATGCAGATGATACAACCTTGCTTGCTGAAAGTAAGAGAACTTGAAGTACATAATGATGAAGATCATAAGCTACAGCCTTCAGAATGGATTACACCTCAACAGAAAGAAAACAAAAATCCTCACAACTGGACCAATAACCAACATCATGACAAACAGGAAAGATTGAAGTTGTCAACAATTTCATTTTACTTGGATCC